CATATTGATTTATAGGCTCAAATTGTGTTAATGCTGTTTTACTCACAGCTATTATTAACTGCATAATTTTATTAATTTGTATGTAAATAATTTTAATAACTTACTTTGTAATGATTTTGAGTACAATGAATCTTATTGCAATAAACTATTTTAATACAACATAGATTTGTTGAGTTAATATTTTACTGCCATTATTTGTCCCATAGTGCTTTTACTGTTATTTTGGAAGAACAAGTTTTAGGTTTCATTTTAACTGCTAATATAGTTGCTTTAACTTGTTTAGAAAAAAAATAAATAGCATTACTTTCTGAAAAATAAATGAATGCATTGTCTCTAGTAACTTTATAGTTCTGAATATAGAAGGGGAATTATAGCAGAAATAAATTAATCATTATGTATCATTAGTGTATTAGATATATTTTCAGTAATAGATAATTTTCAAACATTATTTATGTCTCTCTAACATAACATAGCTAAATAGTAAAAGGCAGAAAATGAATTGTGAAGTCTTTTCTGAGCTAGGCCCAGAGCCTACTGCTAAAGTGTATATGTCTAGAATGTTTTAAAAAATGAAAACAGGTATAATCGAGAAGAGGGAATGCTTTCAAAGTTTGACAGAATATATTGTTATCATTCCTAATTGGGTGAAGGAAAAATTGCATTTTGGAAGGTTAGGGAACATATATAATGGGCATGCATGTCTTCCAGCAATATTTACCCAGGATTTCATCAGAGAAAATTTGAGAATAAACAGGGGTGGTTTTATAAGAACACATTTGATCAATTGAAAATTATTACTTGGAATCATCTGCATCTGTACAGTTGTGGCTGTTGGAAAGAAAGCAAGGTAAAACCATATGTATTTAAAATTATTTGTGTTAGGCATTACTAGTTTACTTTCTAGTAATACTAGGGTTGCTTTGTCAGACACTTAGTATGCTTAATCTAAAAAGTTATTTGAAACAGATTATCATATACACATATTTTAGACATTTTAACTTATAATATAAATATTCTTTATTTGCCAGTGATTTTTCATAGGACCCGGGCCTTTTCTAACTTCAGTATGTGCCGCTGAGCTGGAACACTGGTGGTGGAGTGATTAGCAGAACTGCCTTCCAGTGGAGGTCCACTGTAAGTGTTCTATAATTGTCTTTCCTACACAAATCACATGGATTTCATTGCATGGCTGTGAACCAGAGGGGCAGAATTTTTGTACATTTTTATTGTAGTTCTCTCCAGTTTGTTAGTACTGTTTTGCCTACACTTAACCAATAGCATTTTTAACACTTGGGCAATATTTTATCTGTTCTTTCTGAAGTATTAAACTTGGCTTTCACAGAAACTATAACTCTTCAACATTCATCAATATAATCATAAAAATAAAATGTCAACTTGCATAATCTATTTGGCAACCATATTAGTTTCTCAGGGCTGCTGTAAAAAAATTACTATTAACCGGAAAGCTCAAGACAACAGATATGGTTAGAAATTCAAAATCAAGGTATCAGCAAGGCCGCACTTCCACTGCAGGCTCTAGGGAAGATCCTTCTAGTCTTTCCTTGCCTCTTCCAGCCTCTGGTGGCACCAAGCATTCCTTGATTTATGTAGTAGCATAACCTTAAATCTCTGCTTTATCTTCACAAGGCTTTATGTATCTCTGTGTCCTTTTCTAAAGTCTCTTTTAAGGATACTGGCATTGTATTTAGGACCTACCCACATCCACTATGTGCTTGTCTCAATCCTTAATTACATCTGTAAAAACACCATTTCCAAGTGAGATCATGTTCATAATTATTGAGAACACTATTCAACTTATGATAGTCACATACTCAACTAACTTTTGGTTTATACATATTTTAGCAACTGGAAATGGATGAGCTTACCAAATAAAAGCCTAAAGCTTGTCCTGGGCATCAATCTATTTTTTACAAGGAAATGGACAGTATCAGTTAATCTGATGATTAAATGGAGATGACTTTAAACTGTCTCTACTTTTATACTTTCAAACTTGCATAAATATGCTTGTTATTATATATGTATAAAAGTTTTATATGGGCATTTATTTTATCTGGAAATTAAGAAGATTCTTATCTAACCAAGTTTTTCACTTAATCAAAATGAAATGAAGGTTTGTTATAATTCATATTTATTTGTAGTCTGACCTCTAAGAGCAATTACATTCTTCAATATGGCACTCAGAAGAAAATGAGATAAATCTTATTAAATTGATATTCATTTTTAAAATGGCAAAACAAACATCAATATCTATATTATTCAATCTAAAACTTTGCCTTTAATATATAGTTTAAATGGCAAAACAAACATCAATATCTATATTATTCAATCTAAAACTTTGCCTTTAATATATAGTTTGGTTTACTCTGCCTTTAATATATAGTCATTAAAAGTAAATCAGAAATTACCGAAATTCAAGTAAGGCAAATTTGTGCCTATGAGCAACTCTAGGAAAAGGATTAATTAGTGAGAGGATAAAAAACTATTGGGTTAGATAGGTAGTGAAAGGTCTGATTTCTAACCATCCTCAATCCTTGCCTTCCATGCCTCAGATCATTTTAAGAATTTGGAGTGTTTCAAATCCTTGTTATAATAGTATAATAGTGTTCCCCCCAAATTATTCACCTGGAAACTCTGAGTATTAGCTCACTTGGAAATGTTGTCTTTACAGTTGTAATTTACCCAGTGGTAGTACATTTCACATATAAACAAAATATACTTTAAATAAATCTAAATTTAGGATCTATACTTTTTTATATATAGTCTGGTTATTGGCAAAACATCAGTACTTCTGAATACCGAATTTTTTTCATGTAGCTGCCTCATAGCTACTCATTTACTAAACCCTGTCTCTAACTATGATTTCATGAAGTATTTCCATTTTTAGCATAACTTCATTCTTAATTTTAAGAGGTCAAGATGGGCAGGTGTTTTAGTCAGCGTTTTCACTGTTGTGACTAAAAGGCTCAACCGGCACAATTGTAGAGGGAGAAAGTTTATTTGGGGGCTCACAGTTTCAGAGGTCTCAGTCATAGAAGGCCGATTCCATTCTGTGGGGCTCAAGGTGAGGCTGAACATCATGGTGGAGGAGTATGGCACAGGGAAGCAGTTCACATGGTGATCAGAAAGCAGTCTTCACTTGCCAGATACAAATATATACCCCAAAGTCACACCCCCAATTCCCTCCTCCAGTCACACCCCACCTGCCTCTAGTTACCAGTAATCCCATCATGGATTAATTTGCTGATTAGGTTGAGGATATGACCCAATCATTTCTCCTCCAATCCTTCTTGTATTCTCTCTCTCTCGAGTTAGCTTTTGGGAGACACCACATCTAAACCATAAAAGCAAGGTACGAATTTAAGCAATTCACAAGTTTTGGGCTCAAGAATAATTTCTTCAAACAGCTAACCCTACTTTTGCCTTAAGATTACTGTTAATACCATTTGGTTGGATTTTGTTTTGTCATTTTCCTTTATGTATTAGTTTATTTGTTGGTTTCTTTTTCTTTTTTTGTGTTGTTTTTCTTCATATAGTGTTTGGAATCATGAAAATCTACATAGAGTGGATCTCTAATAAAAGGTTAATTGGGATTTAGGAACTACTGAAATATTTATCCACATAAATTCTTTGGCATAGCTTCAAATATTTAATAATTGCAGCTGAATCCCAGCTACTTGAGAGGTAGAGGCAAGAATATCACTTGAGCCCTGAAGTTTGAGGTCAGCCTGGGCAATATAGTGAGACCCTGTCTCAACAAGAAAAAATAGTGATCAGTTTCAAGAACCTCAACAATGAGTAATTTTAAAAATAAAGTTTTCAACCTTGGCATGATTTTAGGAAATAAAAATAATGTTTAATCTCACTATTTGAAGGACTTTTTTGAAACACATTTCTACATTTGCTTGTAACAAAGTGGAATCTATAGCATTTCAAATAAAGATATGGCCATATAAAACATCTTTTGTTGAGGGGAATGAGCTCCTTAATCAATTTTCATTTCACTTACATTTGAAAAATCATAATTATTTTTGTCTCCTTCTAAGAGAAGATCTGAATAGATTTCCTAATTTTCAAATAGGTTTTCAACTTCAATTTGCTTGAAGTAAACAAATTTATGAATTTAAGTTAGCCTTCAGATTAACCCATCTTCAAAAATAGGCCCACACCTCAAATCTCATACCTCTTTCTAACCTCTCCTTCTGCAGGGGGGAAAAAATTGGAAGACTATGTTCTAAAATATTAGTAGTGCCAATCTGAGTAGCAATTTCATCTTGGAGAATTTGTTTTAAAATATCTATAATAAACATGTATCAGTTTTATAACTAAGAGGGGAAAAGACTATTACTGGATACATTGGAAATACACATTGGGCCAAATTTATTAAATACCTGTATTGTATGCTAGTGTTGCTGTAACAGAACAAGACACACACACACACACACACACACACACACACACACACAATTACCTAGATGGCTCAAACAACAGAAATTTATTTTCTCAGTTCTGGAGGCTGGAAGTCCAACATCAAGATATTGGCAGATTTGGTTGGTTTGATGCTTCTGTCTGGGCTTGCAGATGGTGACCTTCTTGCTATGTTTCTACATAGCTTTCTTCTGTGCTCTTACATCTGGTACCACTTTCCCTTATAAGGACACCAGTCCTGTTGAATTAGGGCCCTGCCCTTATGACCTCATTTAATCTTAATTATCTCTTTATAAATCTCTATTTCCAAATATAGTCACATCAGGGGTTAGAACCTTCAACATAAGAATGGTGGGGTGGGGGGGGGACACACTCAATTTAATCCATAGCACCACTAATTCCTAGCAAAACTAAAAACAAAAAATAATTCTACCTCTGACACACATGGAAGTGAATTCAATGTGAAGAGGAAAAACTTAAATGGTAAAGTGCAGTGAAAGTTAAAATGATACCATGAGTAATTTAGGCAACAGGGAGAAAAGGGAACATAGAGCTGTGTTTTCTAATTATTTGATTTTTTTATTTGTTTTAATTAGTTACACATGACAGTACAATGACCTTGACATATCATACATTTGAATCAGATGGGATAAAATTTTATATTTGCTTTCTCCACATAGTATAATCACAGACACCTATCATTTCCTAGTGTTAGAGCTAACTGCAGCATGGGTCTCTCTGCTGCACATTAGGTCACGTTAGTTAGAGCAAGAGCCCAGCCCCAATTGCAGGGCATCTGAGGAAAGCTTAGCTGTGGCAGTTCTACCATAATGCCATCTGGCTTTGAAGAAATCCAGTTAAGCTGCTTTCCATGTCCCAGTAGTTTTACCTGAAATTAGAAACATTAGATATACAATGTCTCCAGATGCATCTCTCAGATCCACCCACTTTTGCGGGGGAAGAAGTGATTGATATTTCTAAAAAAGCACCACTGACAGAAGATTCTTTTATTTTGGGTTTTTTGTTTGTTTGTTTATTTGTTTGTTTGTTTGTTCGTTCCAGGGATTGAACTCCAGGGGCACATGACCACTGAGCCACATCCCCAGCCCTATTTTGTATTTTATTTAGAGACAAGGGTCTCACTGAGTTGCTTAGCACCTCGCTTTTGCTTGATCTTCCTGCCTCAGCCTCCTGAGCCACTGGAATTACAGGCGTATGCCACCAGGCCCAGCAGAAGATACATTTTTACCTTTCGAGAGTTACAAGTTTTAAGTCAATTCAGTAAATACATCTTTTTCCTTTATTACTCTCAAGAAGGAAATGAAATTGTACAAAGATTTGGGGAATCAGAATTGTAAATCTTAAATGAAGTGTCCAAGGAGGGGAAATGCCAAAGAGAGAATCAGAAAAAGACTGGAACCATTTTGCCCAGCCAAGGCCTGCCCAGTGCTTACACTGAATGTTTGGAGAAACACTCTCTTCTTTAGCCACTGTTTCTTCCCAGGTTTACTAATAGCCTCCACTAATCAATAATGTATAAATTTAATCAGTTACTGCTGTAATTGTCTCACAGCCTTAATTTTCATTATGGTAAGTGGATTAAAAGAAGTTATTCCCTACATATGCTAAGAGTATTTTGAATCATAACTTTCTCAGATGGATCAACATAAGAACAAAATCCTTCTACTTTTATTTTTTGCTATCAAAAAGTCTTCCACATGCTAGATAAGCAGTCTACAAGAAAATATTCATCAATAACTTCATATTAATTGACTCATAGGCCACAACCTGTTTTACTTTTATTTTGAATCAGGATCTCATTAAGTTGGCCAGACTGGCGTTGAATTTGTGATCCTCTTACTTTAGCCTCCCAAATAGCTGAGATTACAGGCATGCACCACCACACCCAGCATCCCATGTACTTTTAAATAATAATACTAACTGATGCCAAATAAAACATAGATAAACTTAAATAATGTCATAGCCAGACTTTAAAGGTGTCCTTAAACTTTAGATTTGAACTCATCTTATTTCTGCCTGATAACCATAAGTGTCACAAATGTGGAAAGTGACACAAAAAGGCTTATTTTGGCAACTCAGCTCCAAAGGAATCAACATCTTAAAGAACAAGACATAAAATATGTCAAAATGGACTGACTACCAGACCTGGTGGTTACAACAGTTTAAAATAGTAGGGTAATAACCAGGTGTGGTGGTGCATGCTTGTAATTCCAGAGGCTTGGGAGGCTGAGGCAGAAGGGTTAAGAGTTCAAAGCCAGCCTCAATAACTTAGCGAGACCCTAAGCAACTTAGCAAGACCTTGCCTCTAAATAAAAAATATTTTTCAAAAAGGGCTGGGGCTGCGGTTATGACTCAGTTGTATAGCGCTTGCCTAGCATGCATGAGGCACTGGGTTTGAGTCTCAGCACCACATATAAATAAATAAATTAATAAATAAAGGTTCATCGACATCTAAAAAGAAAAAAAAACCAAAGGGGTGTGAGCTGGGGATGGGGCTTAGTGGTTAATTGCCCATGGATTCAATCCTGGATATCAAAAAGAAAAAAGTAGGGCCATGACATCTTAAATCATAAATCAGATGTGTTCTGGGCTGGGATGTCAGAGGAAGCACCTAAATATCAATTTTATGGAAAAAAATCAGTAAACTTGAACAATGTAAAATGACTGAAGAACAATATCTATTTTATATTGATATGCATGGAGATGATATATCTGTTGTAAGTTTAATTTTCTTAGGAAGAATTTGAAAAAATTTTGGCCAAACATTTGCAATTGATGAAGCTCATTTAAAAATTACTCTTATTAGATATAAGAGGAACATATATAAGGCTCCCCTTGAAATTAAAACAAGTTATATTCTCATCAGGATATTTTAGTCAGCAACTTAAAGGAACACTTCCTCTTACCTCTGTTTCCCCCAGAATACCTCTGGGTTGGCCAAGAAATAGGTGTCCTGAGGCGGGCCACTTAAGGAAGATGGCATAGACTAATTTTTCCTTAGGTTTAGATGTATACCTGGTTAAAAGAAAAAATAGAAAGCATAGTAACAAGTTACATCCCATGTTACTCCTTCTTTATGGGTCAGGTCTAGAATTATTTTAGAAATAATTCTATGTGCATTTACCAAGGTCTCTGCTAAAAATGAAGGAATGAAAATAGCCCCCTGGTTGTATATAAAGCACTCTCTCCACTCCTCTAGTACTAAAACGAAGTGCTTGGAAGAAAATAATTTTCTTTGGCTAGTATTCTTTTCAGACTGCTCTCATGGAGCTGGAAAAGGGGTGAGAATGAACTAAGTGTAGGACACAAGAACTAGATGGCTTTCCACCTGTTAATTCAAATCTTCCCAGGTCTGCATGTGTCAGCTGTGTGTTGTGCTCAGTTAGGGATCCAACAAGAACAGCACTCAGCTAGTTTACAGTAAAATTTTTAAATTAAGACTTCCATTTTAGACATACAGCTTTACTATGCTCTACATCCAAATGGAAACAGACATGGAGAGGTCATCCATATGGCATTAAAGCCAAGAAAATGGATGATACCAACTTTGGAATTAAGAACTAGAGAGAAAATAAAAGCCCGAAGAGTAAGTCACAGGACCTTCAAGATTCAGAGGTTGAGAAAATCAGGTGGGATCAACAAAGAGGAACAGCCAAGAGGTGCAATGAAAACCAAGAGAAATGGCAGTCAGCTGAGGCAAATACTGCCAATATGTTCAGAAAATGAGAAACTGGGCATTAACCACCAGAGGTTACAATGGGACTTGGCAACAACAACTGTGAGGAATGTTGGGAGTGGAAGTCTGAACAGAGAGGGTTCAAGAGGAAAATTGGAGCAAAAGGTTGGAGATTCTTTCAAGATATTTTACTAGAAAGGAAAGGAAAGAATGGGCAGGTAGCTGGAAACATAAACAGAGTCAAAAGCACTTTATTAAAATGAAAGAAATAACATGTTCATATGCCGATGAGAGCAGATTTAGAAAAAGGGGTAAACTGAAGTTGCATTCAGAAACTAGTTTTAAAATCTGCTCCAATAAAATAGAAAATCATGAAGACATTGACAAATTTCTAGAGACATATGGCCTACACAAATGGAACCAGGAGGACACAGAAATTTTAAACAGATCAATTTCAAACAGTGAAATTGAAGACACTATCAAAAGCCTACCAACAAAGAAAAGCCCAGGACCAGATGGATTCTTAGCTAAGTTCTATAAGACCAAAACTAGACAAAGATACATCAAGTAAAGAAAGCTTCAGATCAATATCCTTGATGAACATAGATGCAAAAATTCTTAAAATCCTGGCAGATCACATACAAAAACATATTTAAATGATAGTGCACCATGATCAAGTGGGTTTCATTCCAGGAAAGAAAGGCTGGTTCAACATACAAAAATTAATAAATGTAATTTATTACATGAATAGACTTGAGGACAAAAATCACATGATTATCTCAATAGATGCAGAAAAAGTATTTGATAACATTCAGCATCCATTCATGTTCAAAACAGTAGAAAAATTAGGGATAATATGAACATACCTCAACATTGTAAAAACTAAATATGCTAAACCTAAGGCCAACATCATTCTAAATGGAGAAAAATGGAAAGTATTCCCTCTAAAAACTGAACAAGACAGGATGCCCTCTTTCACCCCTCCTATTCAACATCTTCCTTGAAACTCTAACCAGAGCAATTAGACAAAAGAAAGAAATTAAAGGGAGATGAATGTGAAAAGAAGAGCTCAACTATCCCCATTTCTATATTTATATTTAGAATAAATATATAGTCTATATTTAGAAGACCCAAAAAAGCTCCACCAGAAAACCTCTAGAAGTCATAAATGAATTCAGCAAAGTAGGAGGTTATAAAACTAACATCCAAATAAGTTGCGTTCCTACATACCAATGACGAATCAGCTGAAAGAGAAATCAGGAAAACTATCCCATTCACAATAGCCTCAAAAACAAAAAACAACATCAAAGTGAATTAATTTAACAAAAGATGTGAAAGACCTCTACAACAAAAACTATAGAACACTAAAGAAAGTAATTGAAGAAGACCTTAGAAGAAGAAAATTTTTCTCCATTGAGAATGATGTTGGCCTTAGTTTTAGCATATATAGCTTTTACAATGTTGAGGTATGTTCATACTATCCCTAGTTTTTCTAGTGTTTTGAACATAAATGGATGCTGAATTTTATCAAATGCTTTTTCTGCATCTATTGAGATAATCATGTGATTATCCCATGTTCTTCCACAGGCAGATTAGGTAGTATAGCAGATTAATATTGTCAAAATGGCCATACTGCCAAAAATGCTATACAGATTTAATGCAATTCCAATGTCATTCTTCATAGAAATATAAAAAGCATTCATGAAATTCATTTGGAAAAATTAGAGGCCCTTGCCAGGTGCAGTGGTGCATGCCTGTAATCCCAACAGTTCCGGAGGCTGAGGCAGGAGGATCTTGAGTTCAAAGCCAGCCTCAGCAAAAATGAGGCACTAAGCAACTCAGTGAGACCCCTTCTCTAAATAAAATACAAAATAGGGCTGGGGATGTGGCTCAGTGGCCAAATGCCCCTGAGTTCAATGACCAGTACCCCCCACCCCAAAAAAAATGAGGCCCAGAATAGCCAAAGAATCCTTAGCAAGAAAAGTGATGCAGGAGGCATCACAATAGCAGACCTTAAATTATACTACAGACTTATATAACAAAAAGGGCATGGTATTGGCACACAGTAAAAATGGAGAATTGCTACAATATCCTTGAGTATAGGATTTAGGATGGGATCCTTAAAACAAGGATTAAGAGTGGGAGTGTAGCTCAGTGATATAGTCCTGGCTTAGCATGTGCAAGGTCCTGGGTTAGATCTCTAGCACCACAAAAAAACAAAAAGCCCTCAAGAAATGACCTTAAATCAAAGTGATATAAATTGACACTGTACATGTGTACATGTGTTTCTAGTGACAATTATCTTTCTAGGGGCAGCCAAGATTAGAGCTAAACTTAGAGCTTAACTTAACCAAAGCTGATTTTACATTAAGTGAATACAACAGAGAGAGGGCAAAGGAGCTGAGGGCATGTGCAATGGATTTATTGCAGTGATGGGCCAGAGATCTGACCTGGATAAGGAAGAAAAGAAAACTTGAGAGGGCTGAGGGACAGGGAAAATGTGATAGTATTAAAGACATTTGATCATTGGATTATAAATCCCTTTGGAGGCTGACAGGCTTTGTGGAGTGAGCTGAGATATAAGAATGTTTCAAATTAAAACCATGGAAAATGTGCGGCAAAATCTAAGTTGTAACCAAAGGAAGGGGTAGCAAAGGTAGAATAGACAAAATCCCTAGGAGAGAGGTCACACAGCAAGTTAGAACTGTGAATAGATAAAGTAAAACCATTAAGAAGTATTTTAAAAATTGTTCTGGGAACAGGGATAGTGAGCTAAGGCTAAACTCTCAAAGGATTTCAAGGTTTGACCTGGGAATATGTAGATGACCATAAGCAGAAGGAGAGGCAGAGCTCTTGGGAGCTCTTCTGAGACTAAGAAGAGCTCCCAAGAATGAGGGAGAAGGAGGGAGACACTCAGCTTCAGAGGTCACATCACATATTTTGTATTTTACTTTTAGTTATTGCAACACCACTAGATAGATAATACTAATGATTGTGAAATTAAAAACACAGAAGCAAATTCCAAAATTAGATTTAAACTATCTGTAATATGAAAAATTGGCACTGAGTTCTCATTAGGGTTTCTCCAAGATCCAACATGATAAAATTGTGAGAAAAAAAAAAACAAACACCTTTTTTTTTCAATTATTTGCCTTTGAATAGATTGCCTTTCTTTATTTTCTTCAGAGAGCTGACTATAGGTTTTAAGTTATAAGTTAAGTACGATTGAGCAAGAACATTTAGTTTAACCTTCTGATTCATATTTGATCAGGAAGCACTCACTTAGGTGGCATTGGGGTGCAATTTTAGAACTTCACTGACTGCACTTATGTATGCATATGAAGGCCCCACATCAAACACCATTAGGTTTGCAGTGTAATTTGGGTACTCATTGGCACACAGAAACTTCCCAAGATCAGGTAGAAACTTGAGGAAAAATTTTTATGGAAGATATTAGTTAAAGAAAATTAAGCAAGTTAATTTTAAAGAAACATCAGGTTTAGATTTATTAGCATAGTATAAACAAGTAACACATTTTTAATCAATAAGAATAATGCTGTTGTTTGAGACTGATTTTTTCCAATTTTTTAATTGTGGTAAGATATAACAAAATTTATCATCTTAAATTTGTTTAAGTGTACAGCTCAGTGTTATTAGATACATCCATAATGTTATGCAACTAACACCACCATTCATCTCTAAAACTCTCTTCATCTTATAGAACTCAGCTCTGTACCCATTAATCACTTCCCACCTCCTCTGCCCCACCTCCCATCAACTACCATTCTAATTTCTGTCTCTGAGTTTAACTACTGCAGATATCTTGCAAAATGGAATCATATAGTATTTGTCTTTTGGCTTATTTCACTTTACATAACATGAATGTTCATCTATGTGTAGCATATGTTGGAATTTCCTTCCTTTTCAAGGCTGAATAATATGTGCATACCACAGTATATGTACATGACACTTTTTGCCTATCCATTCATCTGTCAATGGACTCTTGGATGGCTATTGTGGATATAATTCTGCTATGAACATGGATGTGCAATAAGTCAGTGAGTGGTAAAGCACTTGCCTGGCACATATGAATCCCAGACGTAAAAGGGTCATAGGTTAATTCTATGATTTATTTTTTGAGGAACTGCCATACTGTTTTCTACAGTAGCTGTAACATTTTACATTCCCTCTAACAGTGCTCAGGGGTTCTAGTCTCTCCACATCCTCATCAACACTTGCTTCCCCTTTTTTGATATTAGCCATCTTAGTGGATGTGAGGTAGTATCTCATTATGGATTTTACTTGCATTTCCCTAATTATTATGATATTAAGTATCTCATCTTGTGCTTGTTGGCCATGAGACAAATTACACCATTACAACTGTTGTCTCAGTAGGGAGACAGATACCTGGTGCTTCCTACTTGGACATCTTCCCCAAATCCTCTGTAATTTGGATTTTTTTTTCTCCTTTCTTGGATATCTCTTGCTTGCTAATATGATAGGATATAACATCTGCAAAAATTAGAATTTACTGATGATTAAACAGTAGTCTGCTTTAGATTAACCACTCAGCATTTTCAACTTATTTAAATGGCTTACAACTTATTTAAATGGCTCTTGTAAGAGCTGACAACTTTGGGCTAAAATTTGTCCTTTCCTAGGAGATATCTAGAATTTGAGAAACATTAAGTATTCAAAAATATGCTAATTATTCTTCTTCTCTTTGTATTTGAGTAAAGTTGGAAAGTGCTTTGGATGGGTAATATGATCTGATGTCCCTTATTATTCTGCTCTTATTTTTATCTTTGAGAAATTTAAATGCCTTCCTCTATCAAATGGAACTTGGTAACCAGAAAAACTTACCACACATCTGGGGTGACACTGTCATTCTGGGATCGCCACGGGTGGGTTTCATAAATGGCTTCCCCATTGACTTTTAGCCAGGTCCCCATTTGCCTTAATCGCTCCTCAAAAATTGCAGAAATGGTGCCATCTAGTGTGGGTCCAATATTCATCAAAAGATTTCCTCCACATGCAACTGTTTGCACAAGTTGCTAGAGAATTAAGAATAAATACAGTTCTTAGGTTTAAAAAAATCCATCTTCCATGTGTTAATACATCATAATTTTCTGTGGACATACAGTCACTATCCAGAAGAACAAACCTAGACATAGAGTAATGCCCTGTGTTTGCAGGTCATCAAGTTACCCCACTTGTAAGAAATTGTTCCCACCCAACCTCACTATTAAGAACATGGGCTAATGCTGTAGCTCAATGGTGGAGTGCTTGCCTAGCATACTTGAGGCACTGGGTTTGATCCTCAGCACCACATAAATATAAAATAAAGATATTGTGTCTGCCTAAAACTAAAAAGAAAATATTCAAAAAAAAAAGAACATGACAATAATGGCCATCACACGTTTTACCGTACCTTTACCAACTCTTCAATTGTAAAATAGTCTCCAATGTCAGCATTCCTCCTATAGCCCCAGGAAAACTTGTCTATTGTCATACAGTTTTCCCACTTATGTGGCAAAAGGTGTCCTGGGTTATATCGATCACTGCAGGTATAGTAGCCACCGTGCTTACAGATGCAGCCAGCTCCCCAGCGATCGTTGGTGACTACTGTGTCCCGAACTGGGCTGAAATGAGAAGTATAATTTTTTTCCAAGAAAATGTGTCTTATATGCAAAAGGAAATGTCACTGAAAAGAGGTCTAGCCAAAATCCACTCCTGAAAAATGACCACAGAATGACAGAGTGGGACCCCAAAGTGCTGAAGTCAAATAGACCCAGGTTGATTGGAATTCTGGCTCTGTCAACCTTCTAGCTCCAAGATCTAGAGCAGGTTATCTAACTCCTCTGAATAACCAATTGCCTCATTATCATTAGAACAAAAATAATTGATGTAAACAGCCCAGTGCCCAGCACACACAGCACTTACAAGAGCATTGTACTATTATTTGAAGCTCTGCCTCCCATACTGTGAATGGCACCCCAAACTAGATTTATACTCAAGATATTTTTCTCCAATAATCTCAAATGTATATTCTAACCTTTCTTCTCTAATTGTGCTTAGTATTTTAGAATCTCAGAAAAATAAACTGTTTAAATCATGTGAAATAACTTCACAACATTTCTTATCATGACTGATAGTTCACATAGAAGGAACTCATTGCACTTAAAGGAGGCAAATTTTTTTTTCTTTTGTCACAAGGAATACATTTAATCATTAACAACCTCTTTACTTTCTACTGTTTCATTTAAATGCATTTTAATACAGCTCATAACAGGGCTTTGTGTCAATTTTTTTTCAGATCAAGTCAGATACAACTTCTTGAGGATAAATTAAGGTCATTGCCCCCTCTCCCAAGCTAACGTAAAAAGCTTGTGCTGTATCAAGAACAAATGTTCCAATCTTCAACATATCGCAGACATGACAATTTGGGTGTGTCCCAGATCCATTTTAATCTGAGAACATAATCCTGATGTGAATGTAACTGAGACATGAATTTATTCAGAAAAATGTTTTTCCATTGTTTTCAAAATATTTGTTGTAAATGACAGAAATTCCTTTGCTAAAGATGAACATCTTCCTCCTCTACAAGATATTTAGCACCTCTAAAGAGGCAGTTTTGATTCACAAACCAAAGGAGATGGCTTCCAGTCCTTTTTCTCAGAAGGAGCACCTGGAAGCACTACCACTTTTGGTATCAAGAGTTTTCCAGAACATGTACTTATGTGCTTTGTAGACCAAGGAAGCAAAAGCAGGTTTCCTGACTTTACTGCACAGTATCAAGTGCTTACAAATGTAAATGTGGTTCCCATGGTTCTAGCCTAATGGAGGAATTCAGTAAGAGCTCCCAATTCACACAGGACAGTCTTGAATGCTCAAGAAAGTAACAGGAAAGAAGGGGAAGAGGTGAGAATACTGAGGATGACTGGAAAGAGAAGACAGACAAGGTTGACTCTGACAGAGCGGCAAAGATTATCAGAAGGTAGGATGATAAAAAGAAGCAATCAGAGGAAGTGAAAATGTAATCAAAATGCAGTACAAGGTCCTTAACAGACCAGAGGAATTGATTAAAAGAGGGACTCACAAAAATAATACTTCTAAAGTTTTTGATTCTTTGATTTTTAGTCTGACTTCAAAATCAGAAAACAAAGTTGTATTTAATTCCTGATTTGTTTACTTCTGATAATTTCAAGTGAATATGGATACAGCTAATAAGTGTTATTTATAATGATTTCCTTCCCTGATAAGGGACAGACAGACTTGAGTAGTGAAAACATGAGGTTAAGGGAATAATTCTGTAAATGGGTCCTTCTTACCAACCCCCAAATGCTTTCCCTTTTTTAAAACAAAAAACAATTTACCTGCAGCCCTGTCTGGCTTAAGTAGACAGGATGTCTCAGCAAATTACCTGTTATCTGAAGGAGAAATGCAGGCACAAAATGTCATAAGAAGAATACAAGTTCCTGTGAAGTGGAGGCACTTTTGTGACCCTAACACAGTCCTAACCCCAGAACTCAAGGAGGTAAGGATCATTCCTCCTAAGCATAAAATCTTCAAGAACAGGTTCCAAATAGAATTAGTCAGCATTGTCCAAAGTGACCTTGAGTTGTCATGACAGTGGGGACGTGAAAGTCTAATATCATCCTGCTATCAGTCAAAAGTCAAGAAGGTGGATCTGGGGGGCACTCTGGAAACTTCCCTTGGAACCCCCAATAGAACTAGACAGCAGGAGAGGCACACTGTCGCTCTATTCTCTGAAAGGACCCATTTTTCTCCCTTAAGAGTGTCCCCCTTTCCTATTCTTTCTAAAAAAAACTTGTGCCTGTAACTCTGAGCGACATGTCTGAAATCTTTCTTTCTAACTTGATCACAAGAATGGGGATTTGGAGGAGGGGTCTCTGTGCTGCCTCAGTTTCTTGGCAGACCCGAACCCTGTAACACTTTCCATACCACAAGTGAGCCTAAAAGGAAATATTTCAAGAAGTATGTAAATTTAAATGCTATATGCAAATTAGGAGCTCCTGGGAAATTACAGGCACCTAGTAGCACACATACCTTTCATTGTACAGCCAGGCTAAGAAGTTTGTGCTGTTCCAGTAGTTATCTGGTGCCCCTCCATCTCCATCTGACCACAGAACCTCAGGCTGGTACTTTTTCACCAACTCATAGAGCTCAGGCAACATCTTAGAAATTGGAAATTTTTGCTTACGGAAGGAACTGGATTCATCTTCAAGGAAGAGTGGATGAAACCATTCAAAAAGGGAATAGTACAGTCCAAAATGCAAGTCAGTTTTGTTCCTGATGGCCACTTCCAGTTCCTTGACAATGTCCCTCTTCGGTCCCTCATCCATGGCATTCCAGTTCCAGGAATACTCTGAACCCCACAAAGTAAAGCCTGAAAGGTGACATTAAAACCCTTTGTAAGCATTGTCAATTTCACTTCAGTAAATTTCCACTCATAAAAATGCCAAAACAACTCAGATGCAATATATAAATAACTACTTAAACAAGTGACAATTGTTTAGCATTTTTTTCATAGTTTAGCATTTCTTTTTCATATTCTGTTCTTATAAGAGAAACAAATGAGAATTTAAACAAAGTGGAACCTCAATCTTTAAAAACATGACTCAGGGTATACTGTAAGGTCTGTATAGTGTGATCTCTTTTTTTCTCCTTAGGACTTTGAGATCCTTGAAGGGCAGCATCATGTCTGCAGTGCTCCCCACTATGCTCAGCCAACTGTCAGCTCAAGATCAAAGCAAAATAAACCAACAACAGCAGGTCACTTCTAAGATGGGGACACCTTCCATACCCACGAGCTACAACAATGACCACCACTGTTTACAATGGAGCTTCTGAGATGATGCATTCCTACAAGTTTCTTATGTGACTTCTTATCCAAACGTGAAGGTATATTGCTTGGTTGTAGGATTGTCTGTTTTATCATAGTGTGATTCTAGAACACTAGGGATCCATATGTAAACAATCTCCTTGATCTTGACAATTCATTTAACCAAGAGGCAGAAAAGACACTACTTCCCAGTAGTTTCATGCTACCCACCATTTGGAACCTCACCCTACTCTAAACACAAAAGTAAATAATGTTTTTAGTTGTAAGTTGGACACAATATTTTTATTTATTTATTTTTATGTGGTGCTGAGGATCAAACTCAGCACCTCGCGCATGGTAGGCAAGCAGTGTACCGCTGACCACAACCCCAGCCCCAAAAGTGAATAATTTACCAATTAAATAGTTGAGAAAATAGTAGTATACCATTACCCAAGTATTTTGAAATAATTAATATTTTAATGGGAATGTGCATTTTGATTGCTAGTTGTTCTATATAAACATGTTCAAAGAGAGATATAAACTGAAATGCTTAAGAAACAACATGAAAGACTCGTAGAATCATAGGTATCATGTTATTGTTCCAGTCAAGTCTAAGATTGAGTCTCTCTTCAGATTTATTTCAAGAAGTTTTTAAAATAGTTTGTACTTATTCCAAAGACATTTGGGGTACGCTTCAAAGCAGTGTTAACATTTGAGGTCTTAACTCAAATATTTTCAACTTGACATATCCTAACGTCAGGGAGTGCAGTGACCACTTGGATCTTTGACTCAGTATCTCTACCATATGCTCACACAGTGTTGGTCCCTCCTAACGGAAACCAGTAGCACATTGTCCATGAGCAATAAAAATTGAGAATGTATAAATGTGGGCTGTGTCATCTCTCCTCACAGCTTGATTAAGATCATTGTGTTGTTGGTGGTGGTGGTGTTTTAATACACTCACTAAGTAATACTTTGTGCCATATAGGTTGGGGAAGTTCCTAGATTTCAGGAAATCAACATGATCTCAAGAAAACACACTTAAAAATCCATCTCAGCAGAAATATCTATAAGGAGGAATCATGAAGCTTCAGACTGTGGCCAAAGGGGAAAATACTATAAGTTAATTCCAAATTTTTGTTCCTCCCTTCCTATTTCCTTGGTACTCCTAGAAAAAACAATGAGGTAAATTTTCTTATATCAAGGCAAAGATGGTCATGGAAATGAAACTACCTAATGAATTATGAGGTTGGGACAATAAACTTATTGATGTGTCCTTGGTCTTATGATACTAAGTGGTAATGGGTGGAGTGCAGTCTTAGTGTAGGACCACTGTGTTTTCTTTTAGATATTCCTCAACCAACTATGATATTTCTAGGCACCATTGCAGTTCCATAATCCTTTTCCCTCCAGGTAATCTGTGTTGATCACTAGTAACTCATCCACCATTTGTACCATGTGGCCACCTAAGAGTTAGTCAAAACTGCAGTCAAGTTTATCAGTAATGTTGCAAGACTGCAGCATAGACTTCATGGTGTCTTCACAGAAAGTATTCAGAGGGAAGAAAGGTAAGTATGCAATTCCTCTTGGAAACTCTAACTCTCATCCCACTTCAGTTGGCTTTAAGTAATGCTTGGAAACAACTGTGCATAGAATAAATTGTGGCCATCTTGTTCTGTGAAATATGTGATCTGTCTGTATCCCTACTGTCTCTCAATTTAGGTAAAACATGTAGTCTTAAATGTCAGTCTCCACTTTGGAGAACTGATCTCATAGGGATGACCTTGCTTTAGCAAAGGAATAACTTGTCAATTCCTGAGCATTGTCAGCATCTGTGTGCACATTACCTTCATGATGTTTGGAAGTCAAGACAACGTATTTGGCACCAGAGGCCTGAAGAATATCTGCCCACTGATTTACATTAAAGAATTTTGCTGTAAATAGTGGTGCAAAATCTTCATATTTAAAATCAGGAGGGTAATTATCTTTCATAAATTTCACAAACTTTGGTCTCTTTTCCTTTTGCCAGTACCACCTATGGGAAGAAGAGCAGTAGCACATAAACAACACAAACATAACCATTTGAAATGATTGCCCTGGATCCCTCTAGTATCTCCCAGTTCCTCAAAAATTATCCAGATCCTCTTGGCTTCCCCATCAACTTCCCCGTTGACTTTGTATTAAGAAAAGCTGATGTAAACCAAACTCCCCTCTCATTTTTCCTCTATTTCCACTGTGAAATCCTCTCAACTCTGAAATTAAAGCATTCTGGACAACCTGGCTAGATATTCTCTTAGTTCTTCACTTTTAAATCACAATACCTAGAATGACCTTTAAGTGCTTTGTAACACAAGAAACTAGGGCTTCAAAAGAGACAAACCCCTACTGTATTCAATAGCAGAAAACACATTTTGGGTGTAAGATGAAAAAGAAGCAACAGTAAATAAGAAGATGCTATTTTTAACAAGTTAACTCAGCCTTCAAGAATGACTTGTCACATGTATTCATTCTGACCAAGAGTGAACTGAGCCTAAACTGCTTCCACAAGGCTGCATAAGGAAATGTACATCTAAAACACATGTAATCAACCCCACAGTAACTATCCTTACAAAACAGATGCAAGCTATATCTCGGACTCTTCTGCCTGTCCGTCACCTCTCCTTTTATAAGAATACTTCCACTGGATAAACAAATCCACAGTCAGCACTGCATCCCCAAAGATGACAAGGAGGCTCTTCTGGCTGTGAAGACTTCGCTGGTAAACATAATACATACTGAGTACTGCCCTGTGCCTGGTCCAAAGTCACATACATATTTTCCCAGCTTCTATGGTAGGTAGGTCACAGAAGTGAGAACTATGCTGGCCAGTGGACCTTGTGGGAAAGGTGGCTTGGGGGTTTCTGGGAATGGTTTCTTTCCGAGCAAAAAAGACAAACAAGGCCTTCCTTCCTGCCTTTGGGCAAGATTGCAGGCTATGTGAGGCTTGGGATGCCTGGACACTATCATAAAACTATGAAGGACCAAGCCCTCAAACAGAGGCTGCATCTTTGATTCATCTGTGAGCCAACTACTTCTAAACTTCTTGTTCTGTGAGACAATAAAATCTTATTATTACAACTTTTACCTGGGTTTTTGATGCCTCGAAATGAAAATACCACAAATGATCTATGGTGCATTTTTACTATTTATTTATTTATTTATTTATTTATTTATTTATTTATTTATTTATGCTGCTGGAGATTGAGCTCAGGGTCTCCAGCATGCTGCTAATGCTCTGCCTCTGAGCTATCTCCCCAGCCAACATTCTTATTTTTTAAATTGAACTACAAGTTTGGCACAGTAGTGTAAACCTATAATAACAGCAACTGGGGATCCTCCTAACTCAACAGGAAGATCAAAAGTTCAAGACCAGTCTAAGCAAAAGGAGACCCTGTCTCCAATTTAAAAATAAAAAGGGCCGTGGATGTAGCTGGGAGGTAAGAGTACCAGTAGGGGGGAAAAAAAAAAAAAGAAGTGAACTACAAAAGAAATTGTGACAATCAGAAAGCTGAACACAAATATAAATATGTACACACTCATTTGAAGAGCTGAATATTAGAAGCGCTTAATCAGAAAAGGTGTGTGTAACCATTTATAAAATCGCATGCACATTTCATATAAATCTCAAGATAAAATCTAACAAACATTTTTGTGTAGCACTTTTCATATGACAGTCTATTAATGGTTTAAATGTTTTTGTTTTTTGAGACAGGGTCTCACTAAGTTGCCAGGCTAGACTCCAACTCCCATCCTCCTGCCTCAGCATCTCTGGTGGATACACACCATCCATCACACATTGGTGTGCTATGTTAAAATGCTATCTTGTGTCACTCTTTTAAAGAAGGCTCTAGCTAGGCAGGGTGGCACACGCCTGAAATCCCAGCCACACTGGAAGCTAAGGCAGGAGTCCCCCGGAGTTCCAGGCCAGCAAGGGCAACTTAGTGAGACCCGGTTTCAAAACAAAAACAAAAACAAATGAAAGCCTTTCCACATATACTTGGACCATACTTCAAGGCAAAACGACTGAAAGTGGGCAGGTAGCCGCCTAACAACAGTGGGACGTGAGTCCCAGGCACTGGTCTACCCGACACAAACTGGTTTTTCGGGTCGCTCCACGACATACATAGTGTCATAACTCCAGCTGGACCAGCGCAAGGCTCCAGGAGGTGAGGAGGTCGATCCAGGGTCGGTGTCTGGAAACTTGCAGTCACGAGGAAGGACTGTCCAGTGCTCTTCTAGCCCCAGGCGCTGTCAGGAAGTCATCATCACCGGGAACCGAACGCTGGAACCGGCCAAGCGAAACTGACAAGCGGGCAGCCATAGGCCGTAAACAGGCGTGCTGGGGCGCGTCCGGGGTCCTCGGTGGAGAGACAAAAAGCAGCGTGCAAGGAGACTGGGGTGGGGGGAGCGCACTCACCAGAACCATTCGCTACCGAAGCTGGGCACGGAAAACACGCCCCAGTGGATGAAGATGCCGAACTTGGCCTGGTCGAACCAGGCGGGCAGTGGGCGGGCGTCCAGCGACTCCCAGGTGGGGTCGTAGGGTGCCGCGCAGCTGGCCGGGCCCGGTGGGGGTGGCAGAAGCAGCAGCAGCAATAGCGGGAGCGCGAGGCGCGTGCGCGCCAGCTCCCAGGACAACATGTCCCCCAGGCGGCGACGGTCCCGTCTGCACGCTCCCGCGGCCGCTGGAGCTTTGCACTTCCGCGTCTCCTGCAAGTATGCTCTACTACTGTCACCTGACCAAACAGGCCTCGGTCAGATGACGGACCACCCTCTCTCCCTGTGGGTTGGGTGTGCCCGCTTTGGGGCCCTTAAGCTGAACCCAGGAGGGCTGCCTGGTTCACTTGCAAAACTAAGAAGGCCAATTATTACCCCACAGGCAGCCCCCAGAGTGCCTAGCTAAGACTCCCAGTCCATCTGCTTTGAGGAGAGAAAAGTTAAGTGTGGATGAGGGACCTGTGACCAGAGCTCTGCCCTCCATCTGATACTGATAGGGACAGACATGAGTGGTGAGAACATGAGGTTAAGGGAATAAATTATAAACTGGGCCCTCTGTGCTGATCCAAATGCTTTCCTTTCTACCTCTAGCCCTAACTGGCTTACATCAATAGGATATGTTACATTCCTCAGCAAACTGCCTGTTATCTGAAGGAGAAATGCAGGTGTAAAAAGTCATAAGAAGAGGACAAGTTAATCTGAACGGGGACACTTTTGTGACCCTTACACAGACCTGTCCCCAGAACTCAGGGAGATAAGGCCTAAGCATAAAATCTGTGAGAACAGATTCCAAATAGAAACAGTCAGCATTAATCAGAGTGACCTGGAGTTGCCACAGCAGTGGGGACTTGAAAGTCTGACATCATCCTGGTGTCAGTCAAAAGCCAAGATGAGGACCTGAGCAGAACTCTCTGGAAACTTCCCTGGGATGTCCAATGAAACTGGAGGGGAGCAGGGGCACACTCTCTCCTCTCCAAGAGGACCCACTCTCTCCCTCAAGAGTGTCCCCCTCTCCTCTTTCCCATTCCTTCTAATAAACTCGTTGGTGCCTATAACTCTGAGCTACACTGTCTCAAATCTTTCTGACTTGATTCCAAGAATCAGGGTTTGAAAGGGGGACTTCAGGCTGTTTCAGTTTCTCAGAAGACCCGTAACCCTGTAACAATATGACCCTTACAGAAATCATTAGAAAGGTCATTGTGACCCCATCCACTATGGAGGCTGCCTAATGTGTCTCAACCATGTTCTTAGAGGCAGGAGTTTCTCCAGGAAGGAACTCAGAAAGTAATCCAGATTGTTCTTAACCACTACATTTGCCCCAGAGTTTCTGGATATGTTAGAACTGTCGCTGCCAACCTTCAATTTGTATCATGTGAAGTCCCAAGAGTTTCAGGTTCAGTTAATCTGGACTGGGGCCCAAGAATTTACATTTCTACCAAGGCCCTAGGTGAGTTTCATGTTGTTAGTGGGTGGACCAAACTTTTCCGAGAACTACTCATTAGAAAACAAGGTGATCTGAGACAGGTGACACTTTTGACACGAATGTTTCAGAAATCTCCAAGCTGGCTTGGGGAAAGGAGCCAGAAACTTGGAAAAATTAATCAAGAGCCCGCTTCACAAGTTTACCTCTCCTGCTTTATAAATATCTTCAGAGTAAAGCCAGAAAGAGTCCTCACCCCTCTCTTCTGCAAAATCCTCTCCCTTTGTTGGGTCAATTTAAATGCCACCTCTTGTGTGATGCTCTCTGCCTCCTGCTTCCCTCCCTAAACATTTTATGCCCTCCTGTGTATCTCCATAACACCATATTGCAACCACTAAGACAGGATTTTAGGCTCTGTCTTGTAAGTGGGTACATATAGACCCCATTTCTCATTAGTCTGTGCATTTCTTGAGGGTGATAATAGTGAATTTCATTTCTCTTGTCCCTGCATATACAGCAGAGCCTGACACAGAGAAGCTGTGTCAAAACACTCAAAATGTGTTTGCTGAAGTTCTTCACAGAATCGGGGTTCTAATTAGTGAGTGAACAAGGAAGGAAGTGGCATGTTACCTGCACTCTCCCATCTCTGCAGAGAGATGGGAACAGCTGAAGTCACTGACATCACAGGAATTGTGGCATTCTTCCTCTTGTTTCAATGACAGTGGCTCCCTAGGACTGCAGCTCCACCATGAGAGTCCCCAGTTTTGTCATAGCGAGGGTCTTTTGGAAGAGAGGGCACAAGGGATCTGCTAAGCATGAACTACCAATTGCAACAGTCCCAGTTTGATACAAAAGGAAAGTGATAATTTTTATTACCTTGTCTTTGAAGCCCCAGAACCATCCGAGACTTCAGTAGCCACTGAACCCAAGGCACACTGGAACAATAAGGTGGACTTCTCACCACTGTTGCCTTAACATCATCCCTCATCAGAGGTTTGTGTATTAGTGCAAGTGACATTTTTCCCTAGTGACAATGATATTGTGAAGAGTCAATGGGACTGTAGATACGGTCGTGGTGACAACGCAACAGTGGGGCCTGGTCTTCTCATCAGCCCTATGTGAACCCCATGTAGCAAAAACTTCATCTTCCAAACTATGCTTTTATCATGTAATAAGTTATTTACATGCCCATGCATTTCATTTTAAGAGTGCTGATTAGCTCTGATCTACATAAATGACACTTGGGTCATTTGTCATTTCTTGTGAAGGCAAAGAAACTATTTTAGTTAGCTTTTCTGTCCCTACAATGGGCAGAGAAGCCCTTTCCCTCAGGCTCCCCTTTACTTTTCTAACATCCACAAAGATAGTGTTCACACTTACATGAGGCTTACAGGGAGTTGGGGACAGGAGCTCAGGTGCTCTCCAGGTTCTGGAAAGGAATATGATGACCCTGCCTCCTCTGGCCCTGGGGTGCTGACCTTGGTCCTCTTGCCATTGCCACAAGAGGCTTGAAATTCCTGTGATTCATGATCTGGTCTGCAGAGAGGCTTCCAGGGGTATGCTGGGGTCTTTTAAGGCATGGTTGTGAACTGCACACCCATGGCAAAGAGGGCCTGCCACAAAGAATCACTCTGGTCAAATTTTCTGTTAACTTCTCAGCTACTTCTGGATCCTATCTGTGACACTGAAATATCAAGTTCATTCCTAGAAATGTAAAATTCAGCCTTCTGTACTAACAGGGCTGTACCTGTTAAATGTGCCCATCAGCCTATGATGGGATAGAAAAGCCCCTTCCCTCAGTCTCCCCCTTACTTCTGTAACACCCACAAAGATAGTGTTCACACTTACAGGAGGCTTACTATGTACGATGTATAATTTAATTCTCACCTCAATCTGAGGAAGATGATGTCCTATTATCATTCACATTTAACAGGTGAGGACACTGAGACTCAGAGAGGTTGAGTGCCTTACCCAGTGATCCACAGCCCTGTAGCTGAGAGTGGAATTGTCTGGAAACCCAGTGGTCTCAAACTTTTCTGGGGTGCTCCTTATTATTTGTAATCCCTTGTCCTCCTCTCTTTACTCCTTTTCTATGTATTCCCTGACTCCAGGCCAAAAAAAGAAAGGGTTTCTTTCATTTGTGCTATGTCATGGGCTCTTGCTACCATGAAACTGGACTAGTTACCATATAAAGGCTGGATGGAGTTTGATTTGTTCTGAACACTCTCCTTCTGTGTGTTGATGTCAGCTGCAGGGTGAATGTCTCACTTCTTCCACTGTCCACTTCAGAGGAGTTCTGGGAAGTGCTGAGACTGGTTGGTGGCCATCATCCAATTCCCACATAGAGATCCAGAATGTCATCAAGAGCTCACTCAGATATCAGCTCCACCCTCGGCAGTCGGTGACATCCCTGAGGATACAACTGGCAGGACTTCTTCCTCTGGCAGCAACAAAGAATCTGGTGGGGGCTGGTCCCCCAGGCTTTCCTGCCCAGTGCCCTGTGTGCCAGCAGCTGCCAGCCGTGGTGGCTCCATGAGTACACCTGTTGCTACAGGACAACGACCTCACGTTTCCTGCAATTGGCTCCTTCAGACAAGCAGGATCAGATCAGAGCTTCTTGACAATGTTCCCATGGAGGCCCAGGGCTCCCAAAAGCCTTATTAATAAACCATGTCCCCCCAAAGAACTTGAAATGTCAGATTTCCGGATCTTCTATCAAAACCTTCAAATATAGAGTTTAAGCCTTAGTGTGAAGCGGTTCTAATACTCAACTAGCAAAGGGTTTTTGTTTGTTTGTTTGGTACTGGGGACAGGGCATTTAACCACAGAGCCACATCCCCAGGCCTTCTTTCATTTTTTTTTTTTTTTTATTTTGAGACAGGGTCTCAATAAGTTGCTTAGGGCCTCTCTAAGTTGCTGAGGCTGACTTTGAAATTGGGTTCTTCCTGCTTTAGTCTCCTAAGCTGCTGGGATTATAGACATGCACCACAGTTTTCCCAGCTGCAAAAACTAGTTTTACTAAGTATTATCTTATAAAATATTATGTGAGTAAGAAATCTACTGCATTTGAGTCTCTCCATAGTACTGTGTCCTAAAATAGCTCATAAGTTTTGTTCTTACAGTTATTTAACAATTTTTTCCAGTAGAATCTCTCTTCTTCTTCCTTTCCAAATAACATAATTTGCCATTCTTTCCAAATCTTATGTCAATTGTTAACCTGGTATTTTAAGATCATTTATGTCCTAAGGTACACTAAAGGAGGTCTTATTTTCACCATAAGTAAGGAAGATGCAGGACGTGGGGAGGCATCTTCAAAACAGAGTACTTGTACGCAGAGAACAGCCTAAATATTTGCTAATGCACCTTGTTTTGGTGTCTACATTTACTCCAGATGGAACAATGAAATTTGCCCATGAGTTAGATAGTAGTTAGAAATGAGCAGTGAAGTGTGAACCAATAACAGCAGGGTCATGGGGTTTCTTTGAAATTGCCTTTCGTGAACAAATCAAATAATTTGTAGAACAACAGGTTCACTAACCCTGAGAATAAACAGATGGAAACAAAGGGAGCCAATTAAGAACTACGTCAAGAAAGAAAGATCAATGGGACTAACTCCAGGCAAGGTCTACTGAGGTTATTGTACAGTTAGGATTAATGGCCATAGATTTCTCCATGTATTTCAGAAGGGAAATTCCTTTAGTAGTGCAGGTGCACTAAGATGAAGTCTACAGGGCATTGACCCCAGCACCTACATTAATATAGGACCAACTTGTAGATGCAGCCCCGCTGAATGG